GATGCATGCTGAAAAACTCTTACTAATAGTAATAGTGAAGGTTTAACAAGACAAAATATTGCATGAATGATTAACCTGAATCATGCCAGGGTGGTCACGTGGGTTATTTCCAGGCCAAGGTGTTCCATCCTGCATAGTCCAACCTTCATCAGGTGTTTTCTGAGCCTTTGCTACTAAGGCATTAACTCGAACTTTGTACTCTTCATAATCTCTCTGTAACCAAAAAGATGACAATGAAGAAATGGCTTTTTACTTACTCAGTACATAATTTAATCAATACATCAAAATGGAACAAATATTCAAGATAACAAGTTTCAGGTTCTTACTTTCATTGCTCTGCGTTCTTTCACAAAAGAAGGCTGCACTTTATCTTTTAAATAATCAATCTTCTGTGAGAAGTAAAACTCGGGAGCCCTTGGTTCAATTGAGTATTTTTTGCAGAATGGAACCCATTTCCTTGCAAACTCTGCTGTTTCTGCTAAGGATTCAAATGAAAGCATGGCAGCACCATCATCAGATACATAGCAGGAGACTTTATCCACAGGATAGTCCAAAGCAAGAATGGATAGCACTGTATTGGCAGTGATCAGTGGAGGTTCTTTCAATGGATCAACAGTACTCACGAAAAAGTCCACCGCAGCAAGCTGATTAGGCTCACCTTCTCTTTCATACCTACACAACATAGGGTATGACCATATAATTAAAGGGTTCAAATTTTACTCTTCCATAATGATTGAATTCTTTATCTCACTATTTTCATTGTCTTTCTCATATTATAATGCCTGGAAACTCAGCCTGCTTCACTACATACGAGAAGAAAACTATCACATAAAGGTCAAAAGCATAGAATTTTATTTGATTAGATAAAAAAAGTTTCTATGCATCATCTGACTAATCTCTGAAACCAGATTCAGCAATATGAGCAGTGGCGGGAGAGAAGGTGGCCCCTGTCCCACAGCTCCAATTTCTTTTTTCTATTTTTTGCCCTATAAAATAGTTATTTTTCTTTATTTGGCCCCCCTTAATTTTGAAAATTTTCTCTTCTCCCTTTTTAGCATTGGATCCTGCCACTGTTTACCCACAAAATTATATCATTCAGCTTTAAAGTCTCCAGTAGAATGTTAATGTACCTTGCCGAGAGCCTGTCAATGTATGTTTCCCTATTAACAGGACACCACTTAGGGAATTGATCCAACACCCAGGAAAATGCAAACCAAATCTCACATATGACAGAAGTAATCCACAGAGGATAAGCACTATCTACAGGATTTGTTATTCTGTAATGGAAGAAAAGCCCCAAAATAATCAATCGCATAATTATTACAGCTCTATACGGGGTGAGTTTGTTTGGCGAAAGTGGAATAACAACTGAAAGTGGCTCTGCAGCATCACCGGACCTGCAAAAAGGCAACATTATATCAATTCAATCACATCATTTACAGAAGGACATGAGAAGAAATTGAAGCATCAAAGTCAAACCGTTAGAGGTCTGCAGTGCACTTCCCTTTTATGCGATGTATCAAATTATATAACTGGTGTTGGGACGGAATTCAAAAAATGGGCTTTGGACTTGAGTTTTCTTTGTACTTACGGCTTGTCCTCCATCTGCTGCTCAGGTGGAATTTCAGCTGGCTCCTTTTCAGGCTTTGGAGCATTCTTTTTCTTCTTGTTCTTTTTATCTTTCCAACTCTCCACTCGATTTTTCCAAATTGGATTCCCATATTCATCATTCATTTCTTCATTAAACCATCACAAGAGATGATTAATGGCAATTCTTTTAAAGGCTGAAGTATGCAATAACAATATTCAAAAAATTCAAAATTGATTACCACTATCCACTGTTGACACACTACTGACATGTCTTGCATGAATTCCAACATCCTGTGCAAATAAGGATGAGTTAGATAAAGATCACTGATATTATGTTCATTACACAACTCACTGTGCAATAAAAATATTTATAACGATCATCATACCTGAGAATTGTTTAGTTGAGATGCCATGGTTGATCGATTGCCTGATGCCTTTGCTTCACCATCATCCAACAAGTTCTCTGCAAATTAGCAAAATATTTTAAGCAATAAAGAAATAAACTTCCAATAAAACATGAATCAAGTCTTCAATAAAAAAGAAAATGCTAGAAATGACTAAGAAAGTAAGGTCTAAAAGGCAATTTCTAAAACTTGATAACTGAAAATTGCAACTCTCAAGTTAAACAAGTGCATGACAATTAAAAACTTTAAAAAAAAAAAAAAAAAAAAAAAAGCACTCCGGATTTATTCAATGGATTCCAATATTGCATCATTCAATTCTTCATTAAACACCATGCAACAAAGAGATGAATTAATGGCAATTCTTTATTTACTAAGGCATGAAGTATGCGAAATAACTATATAGTTCAAAAAAATCCCTCAAAATTGATTACCTGACTGAATCTGCACTGGTTGACACAATCCTACAAGAACATGTCTTGCATGAATTATCTGCCAACCATCCTGTGCACTAAATAAGTGATGAGTTTAGATTAAAGATCATGTAATATTTCTTAAATGTTCATTACAATCACCTCAACTTCCAGCCTGTGCAATAAGAGACCATATTTAGAAAACGATCATCCATACACCTGAAAGAATTGTTTTATTTTGAGAAATGACCCGAGTAGGCTTGAATGCGTATTTTGCCTGAATGCTCCTTTACTTGTCACCATCATCCAACAAGTTTCTCTTGCAAATAAAGCAATAAATAGTTTATAATGCAAATGAAGACATATAAACTCTTCTCCAAATAAAACATGAATCAATTAGGAGTCCTTCAAAACTAACCAAAATAAACCATGGAATAAGTAAAGTTGACTTAAAAGAAAGTAAGGTCTAAAAGGCAATCTTCTTAAAATCCCTAAAACTTGATAACTGAAAGAGATGTTAACTCTCCACAGTTTTATATACTATAGTGCATCTTTGAACACCATTAAAAACCCTTTAAAAAAAAAAAAAAAAAAAAACCAATTATATGGGAATAGAGATCCAAAAGCTTTATAGGGTGAAGCCACACATATAACGTTAGAAATCGTATAAAAAACTGAATACTATAAATCAAGTAAAATGCATAGAACGTCTTAAAGATATAAGTTTGTAAACATCAAGAGGAGACAACCATCTGAACAGCCAAGGCACCAGCAATATGATGGTCTCCCCTGTTTCTCCTTCGTGTCCCTCGTACCTTCTAAACGAATACTATTGACACATAGGGATAAACACATTAAAGCCTCAACATTTCTGGTCAAACTCCACAAAGACGTTTCACAATTATGAGTATAAGGTACACACCTGTTTGAGCGAGGCAGAGGATATGGCATATTAGTGGTACCACCGGATTCCCATCAATTTTGCTGATCACTGTTCACCTATCTAGTCAGGGAACTCCAATTTCTTCAATAATCCATCCTCATAGCTAGGATTTTCGCTCTCCTTGCTCCTGTGTTTTTAGGATCAACCCTTCCCTAACCAAAGCAGGGTGTGGTGTCCCTTAGGATGCAAAACTGTGTTGCGCTTCTGATCCAGCATTTTCCTCTGGCTTAATCGGTTGACGAGATCGGTTGAGGCTGGTGTTCTGTCGCGGGTACCATGTGAGGTTGGGTGCTTTTATCCAAGCCGTATTCGACTGGTTTTGCCACAGCGATAGAGGTGGGAAGAATGCAATGTTCCTGTTTGTGTTTTTTGTATATTTCTTTTTTCAGGGCCTAATATTTTTAATTAGATCGGTTATGAAGAGCAGATTGATACTGAATAGAGAATTCCTTGACCAGGGAAGTTTTTGAAAGGAAGAGTTCGCTTGGGGCATGGCACACTTTAATCCACAATACTTTGAATTATCACAGTTTCCCTCCTCCCCTTTATGGGTCCTCGAGGTGCATTGGTTAGGACAGGGAATTTAAAAAAAAAAAAAAAAAAAAAAAACTTATATGGAAGTATAAAAGCTAAGGTTGGACAACATATACTGAATGTATAAAAACTGAAATTAGCAAAAAAAGAGAACTCTTAAGATAAGTTGTACCATCATAAGGAGAGCCACACCGCAAGCATACTTTCCTGTTCTCCTTGATCTCGTACTCAAAACAAGACTTGCACATAGGGAAATTACAGTCATGGCAAGCCACAAACGGTTCACCATTTGTATAAAGACCCACCTGTTCACCGCAGGTATGGCATATAGGGACCCCGGATTCCATCATTTTGCTGATCACCTACTATCAGGAACCCAATTCTTCAATAATCCTTTCAAGAGATTTCCTCTCCTTGGCCTTGTTTTTATATCAAATTCCCTAACCAAAGGCAGGGTGTTTGGGTGTCTTAGAGAAACTGGTGCTGACATTTTTGTAATGGTGACGAGAAGGTGAGGCTGGTGTTTGGTGGGGTAAGGAGGTTGGGGTGTTGGTATCACCTGTTTTGCACAGGGAGAGATGAGAAGCAATGTCCTGTTTTTTTTTTTTCTTTTTCATTTTTTTTATGGGTTTATGGAAAGATTTGAAATTTTGCGGGAAGTTGAAGGAAGAGTTCGGTTGGGCAGGGCACATCTTTAACTGACAAACTTTGAATACAAGTCCCTCCCTTTATATGGGTCTGGGTTTGCCATTGGTTTAGGAACCCAAAACTGGCACGACCCAAGTCATCGCCCATGCTTCAGATTTCCATTAATGATCGAACTGTATCAAAGGATAGCTAAATTAGATATCAACTCTAAAATTATTGTAGTAAAATTCAGTTCCCAGAAGTCTTGTATGATTTACTTTGTATCATAAGACTATTTTCGGATAAACTAAATTCTACCTCAATAGGCTGTCTTAATTAACCCCTAAACATTAAGACACCAATGCTTGGAAAAAAACGTTTGTCATAACTGTAATTGATAAATTCCTCTCCCCTAATCTAGCAATTCATCAATCATGTAAATTTGAAGCACGAAAAAAACAGGCCATCTAGAAAGAAGCTCACTGCCAAACGTTAGCCAACTAGTAGTTATCAATACAAATGCCAAATATCATAATTATGGTAAAAATGTATCATCTAGAATAATTACATCCTCTATGCAGTTCTCACTCTTGATGGACAGTACAGCTATTACACTAAAAAAAGTTATAGCAACAAAATACAACCATTCAACCATTAAGATTATACATACTAAGAGTTTCTCCCCTGAAATGGGGGTTATACATTCTAATGAGGGTTAAAATTAGTTCAACAATCCGAGCAATCATGAATCGTGGTGTGCCCTGAAATGGAGTCTCTCCCCTAGTCGGTCAGTTATACTTCTGAAAGTTGCTTCCTGACACAAGTGAGGAAATAATTGTCTTTGGTGCCAGATATGGGGCTTGTTCTCCAGGGGACCATGGTTTGATGATTCTGTTCTCTAATCTATGAAACAGAATACACCTTTACCACTTTAGTTGTGTCACAGACAACGAGATTTTCAGATTCAGTTGGAGTTGTACAAAGCCAATTCACCTGCCAAAATGGATGTCAGGTAATAAATTTTGAAACAAGTGATGCGAAAGAGGAAAAAAACAGAAGCTGAATTCCAAGATATCGCTGAAGAGAGGCAGTGAGAACTCACTTTTTTGCTCAAATCGATGTTAAGACGAAGAATGTCATTGTTGCAGCCACTCTGTCCTGTACCAAGATATCTGAAGCAATCCCATACCTTTACCGATTTGTCATTCCCTCCTGAAATTATGAACTTTCCCCTCTCTCTGAACAATGAGAATGCCACACAAGATACAGCAGCAACATGGCCACCCAAAGAGTAATCCAAATGCAACCTACTTCCATCTGTGCCTGCAGTTGCAATATATTCTTTGGAAATTGATTGAGATCCTTTACGTGCTTTGCTGGTACTTTTTGACCTAATGGCAGCAAGCTCTGATTCAATGTCGATTACATTGAGAACCCCATCACCCCTACCAGCAATACATATATGGCCTGAATTATCTAACATATCAGCATCTGGAACTGCTATTGCATGAACAAATGCAGGATTAAAGCATTGGGCCGTGTTGCTACTCTTCATGTCAGGTAAACCTACAGTACAGAAAAGACGCAAACATGCGTGTAACAGGTGAATACATCAAATACATGCTTGAATACCACTTGCAGAAAGGATAATGATAGTTATACTGGCTATAGATTAATACAAGTGAGACAAATAGAATCAGACACAGATAACCCACCAAAATCCACAATTTTGAGTGGACGCCCTCTGGAAAAATCCCACATGACAAGCTTTGAATCAAGACCTCCAGTAATGACTGCCAGAAATTGTATCAATGATCATGATCAGTACACCTTGGGAATGTTAGTTCCTAACAAAGCAAGAATTATAACCATTACCAAATTTGTAAATGCATTAAAAATTCCATATACAGCACTATTCTCATATACTCCATCAAACACCGGTTAATAGAGTTGAGGCTTATACAGATTGACTGAACGGCTCTTTTACGTGGCAGACCAACTTGGCCGGCCAGTAACTTCATGAAATATATCTTGTAGCCTTTAGGTTGAACAATTGATGTAAAACACTGTTTAAGAAGATGAATGTTCATTGCAAAATTCTACTTACTAAAGTACCTAAAAATAAAAGTAATGGACATCATATCACGTCATTCAGCTCATCACGAACATTCTTCATATGTGAGCATGGTTGTATTTCAGGGTGCCATTTCACCTATGTAACGTACCTCTCAGACAGAGAGGCTTGAAGGATGGATGATGATTTCAAATTAAAAGATATAAAAGCTCAAAGAAATACCTTCCCAAGGTCTCCAAGGAATGAATTGCACACTGCTACAGATCTATAGCATAATTAAGAGTGCCAAAAAGTTGAAGAATTAACAGAGAATTTGGCAGAAGCTTTGACAAAGTATGGTGTTGACAGCTGCAAAAACCAAACTCAGAGGAAGGACAAAAAGACTAAATAGATGCATCTTACAACCACATTTGGGTGTCAAATAAACAGAAAGGTACAGTTTTCAAAGAATATCCTGTCAAGAAGACCTCATGCATAGATGAAAAGCCATTGAGATATCAAGCGCACGCTTCATGCATGCAGGGCACATCATAAAATTCTAAACACAAGTGGCAAATAATGCTAAAGGATACACTTGTATGGCCACCTCGTAGTGTCTTATAAAGACAATGCTGATGAATGTCAATGATCTGCCATGAAGATGACATTATTTAGCAGTAGTCTTCCAAAATGCACAGTAACCAGATTTCCAGAAGCATGAACAAGTGAAAAAAAAAATACAATTATAAGAGGAATGTACTGACATAGAGATGATATCTTTCATCAAATGGACGCACTAATGAAGATGCACCTATATAAATGGCAGATATTAAAACGGCCAAAAAAAAAAGAGAAGAAACTGCTTACTTTCACCTGGAGCACTTGTAGCATAATACTTTTATATTACTTGCAGAAAAATGTGATAGTCAACCTATGCAAATACCTAATATGGCAATATCTGTTCAGTTTTTAAGTGCATTTCTAAATTATATGGAAGTATTTTTCCAAAAATGGTTGTAACTTGAACCAAGGTAATGATGACAAAGAAAATCAAGCACTGCATGGTGGTATATCCATAGTGAAGATTTTATTCCATTCCATGCTTCAGACTACAGCATACTGTAGTCACTTCATTTAACAAGTAGGCCTTTTATTTTTTGTTTTGATAAACAAATTTCCAGATTTCTTACCCCCTAAGAGTTTGACCTTCTATTAAAAAAACGAGGCTGTACTAGGTGAAAAGGGCATGTAATCCTGGAATTCCTGAAATATATCTGCTCTTCAATCCACAGTTTAAATTAAGGTCATTTCTCCAAAAATAACTAGCAGATATCCATTGTCTTGGTGTTTGTTTGTGATGTACAGCAACAAAACATCACACATGCTCACACACCTTCTGCTACTCTTGAAAAGAATCCCACATCTCCCACCCTCCTTCTACAATTCTACCACAGTTTGGCTCAATGTTTATGAAGAAAATAGATCAGAAATATGTCTAGCACATGCTTGTTCCATAATAAAGACCAGTCAATTAAGGAACATATATCACCTTAACTTCACCATAATCATCTGTAGAAGCAAGAAAAGCTGCCTTTGAGTTGCAAGCAATCTGCAGAGATAATGAATCTTTTCACTTATAAAATACAAGTTTGTGATTTAATATTAGATTTTACTAAAAGAAAGGAAATCAAAAAGAGGAAATTATTCCTTGAATCAAAGAACAAGACTAACAATAGGGAAAAAGCAGATCCACATTATTCAAACAAAAAGAATAACAACTTGATACTGTTGAGTGCAGTAACTTGGTAAAATTGGATAAGATTGAGCGGCTAACACACAAAAAAAAAGCACTAATCAAATGTCAAACGTGCCTGTAATAGCAGAGAGGAAGGGTTGATTTTAAATGAGAATAAATTTACCTGATTAATTTCCTCCTTGTTATAGTTGTAACTTTGCAACAGCTTTGAAGAAGTAGCCTTCCAACACAAATGAATGAAAATAAAACCAAATTTGCAATTATTGATTACTGATACTTTAAAGGTAAAATAAAAGGACAGACGGAAGAAGACGAAAATCCTATAAACAAAGCATGATGTATAAATCAAATTTGTGGTTTACTATAGATTGTACTATGTCACATTCGTAATGAAAATAAAATAGTACACATGTGATTAAGAAAGACAGATTTTAAAAATAAGTTCCAAAAGTATAGCACTTCATATAACACAGTGAGGTGAGGAAACACATGAAGCCAATTATTTAACAATGTAATGCCAGCTTACCATATGTACATCAAAACACTTGACTTCACTTCCCGAGGAAACATATATGATGTCTTCATTCCCTGAGCCATTCAACCATCAATTGACAAAGAAGAGAAGAAGGGGGAAAAACTTAATTTCAAAATCCTCCAAGAATTGCCAAGATTGACGTCAGATCAGAACATTTTCAAAATATTTGCGTTCAAGTTTGTATCTTAAACCAAATATCTAAATAGCACTGACTTCTAGCCTTCTAAAGACTTCATACATTTAACCAGAGACTGAAAATATGCAACTTCCAATTCTTCTTGGGTTCATGGGATGGGGAGAAAGAAAGCAGATATTTCGGACTCCTTACTAACTGGTTGGACAGTGGAATAGGCATGCCGTGTGCAAGCACTAGGACACTGGCAGTAGCCAAATATATATTATCTGAAATCATTTATATTTGAAACTAACTATATCATCCATATTCAAAAGTCAAAAAAAAAAAAAAAAAAAAAAAAAAAAAAAAAAAAAATTATCTGAAATCATTTATATTTGAAACTACCACTATAATCATCATATTCAAAGTCAAAAAATAAAAAAAAAAAAAAAAAAAAAAAAAAAAAAACTATATCATCCATATTTATGAATGCAACTAAACTAATCAAGGGAGAGCTCACACTGACTTGAAACAAGTGAAGAAATAGGTTGCTGTAAACCTCCATAACAAAAAAAAAAAAAAAAAAAAAAAAAAAAAAAAAAAAAAAAACTATATCATCCATATTTATGAAAATGCAACTAAACTAATCAAGGGAGAGCTCACCTGACTTGAAACAAAGTGAAGAAATAGGTTGCTGTCCAACCTCCATAACAAGTTGTGCGTCTTTGCATCGCATATCGAACCAGCAGATGCAGCCATCCTAATTCATTTTGTTTTCAAAATGCACGAAAGAAAAGAAAAAGAAAATTAAGAACCAAAAAGAACAAAGATTCAAAATTTACCATATCCATACCTCTTAAGAACTCCCAAGTAGTCAATTTAAATTGGATAATCAAAATTTTCATTGTTATCAGAAGCGAGAGTATAAAAAGTATTAAGAGGAACGAACAGTATTACCTCGCCGGCGGTGGCGACGATGCCAGGACGGTCACGTGAGGCAATACAGCACGTGGCGGTGGCTTTGTGACCTTTCAAGCGTCTCGGCTCCGACATGGCCACTTATTGAAATATTTTCTCTATCGATCGAAATTGCGAAAATGTTTTGACAGGCAAAGGGATGGTATCGAAAAGAAAGCGGCATCGATTTCACTGCTTTTAACGACAGGCCGTCAGTATTAGAAGTTGTTTGTTTGACAGCTTTTATTACAGCATAGGCGTATCTTTCCGGCGAAACAAAGTCGTTTCAACGTAAACGACAACGAGGTTTCATTCAAGGGCCAGTACAAACAGGCTACTATTGAATAGGATTGGGTTGCGCTGACTTTGGACTTGAAACCCAGTTCAACAACCTGAAATCCAAACTCAACCCAACATGAAGCCCCATCCCTTAGAAATTTTTTTCAGATAATTTATTTAATAATTTACCTCACCTTTTACGCTTGATTAAAAAAAGAAAACAATCAACAGTAGTTAGATTAGCGAAACTAGATTATATTTACGTACTTGTTCCTCTTTCATTCTTATTTACAGGCGAATGTTACCTAAAAATATATATATACCATCATTTATTATTATATTGAGGAATATTGATGATAAGTAATTCATCAGATGATGGATCAGGTTGATCTAAACTTGACTTAATTAATCCTGATTTGTAAACTTAATTTCCTAAAAAAAAAAAATTAATATTCTGATCCACACCACAAATAATAAAAGTGAAAAGAAATGAGAGAATGACATGCTATTGAGTTGATTTTCTTCACTGATATTCCCCGTACAAAGTAAAGTAAAAAAACGCAGTATTTAATGGGCAGAATTATGTCGTTTTGCTCCTTGAGTTTACTAATAAGAAGAGAAAGTCAAAAGAAGAAATCATAAAAGAGGTGGTAAATGGTATTGCATGTGAATTGAATTTGGCAAGATTCGGGCATAGTAAGGAAAAAGGCCATAAAAGCCTCGTTTTGCTTTGCAGTGTCGTATCTCTTGACCTTTTCCTGAAACACCTTATTGGTCAAAAAATATGGAAAAATGGAGAAAAAGATAGATTTCTGCGCGCGGTAGCATGGCAATCACGGGCAAGGGGAAAGGAACTCATTCCAAGGAAAATGTTAATAGCAGAAGCTCGGTCCAAGTTAAAACCCCAAATATAAATGACAAAACTGGAGGCTTGTTTCCATGTACCTCGCTTTCTTCTGTGACTACTACCATGCGAAAAACAATGCTCTGCTGATTGGTGAAATGTACCCAAAAAGGTGATAAAAGGAAAATAAAAAAAATGAAAAAAGGTATTTGTCGTGGCCTGTGAGATTCGAACTCACGCGGGGAAACCCCACTTACTTAGCAGGCAAGCGCCTTAACCACTCGGCCAAAGCCACAATTTGATATTAGTTCGGTTTATTAGTATTATATAAATAAATAAATTGTCAAATCATGCAACAAACGGAGCTGATTGATCATTCATCGAGATAGCCAAGACTTTACTACACAAAATTCTCTAAATAAATCCTAAAATTACAGGGGGGAAAAAAAAAAAGGAAAAACAAAATAAGGACGACTAAAATTAGATTAACGGGCCATAGAGACATTCTTCTACTGGTTGTTAGATCAAAGACTGCACCTTTACCTTGAGTTGAATTGAACTAGAATATTTATCTGACAGTACAAGCAACAGCATAAGCCCAAGACTTAAGGTGCTCCTTCATGGCCATCCCATCACTCAATGGTGGCATATTCACTAAATGTTGTTTACTTCTAAACATTCCATAGCCACATGCTGTTGTTATTTCCGTATTAATCTCCCAAACACCAAAATGTCCCAAATCCGTCGACGTGCCATCAAACCCAAAATCAAGTTTTCCCAATATCTTTCTCTTACTTTTTCTCTTTCTCCTTCTCCTCCTCTCTTCTTTCTTTGTCTCTGCTTCTTCAACAGTGCTTTCTAAAGCAAGTTCACGACATTTGGAACATCTGGGCGAGACAAACTCCAAATTCTGCGACGCATTTTGCTGGGTTTGGACAATTGGCTTGGTGGGTTTTGGTGAATCTTCTTTCGTTGTGTTTCCGTTGTTAACATCTCTAACTGGCGGTTGAGTTGTCGATGACAACACGTTAGAGAAGAACCAAAGAGAGTCTAAGCTCTCTAATAAGAGCCCAGACTCCTCCATGAACCGCGCACTGCACCGCACAGAGCAGAAACAAAACCCCAAGACCAAACAACAACCCCCGCAAAATACAAATAGAAAAAAGAGCAGTATAAAACAAAGAGAACATAACATAATTAATAAATCAGTAATTAATTATAGAATTTTCTAGACGGACGCCATTGATCAAGCAAAAAAAGAACATTTAAACGCAATATTCTCGGTTTTCGTTTACGAAATTACCGTATTAGCTCTTGTTTTATTGGCTTCGTAAATAATCTATGAGGGTAGTTTTGGTATATTATATAGTACGAGTAAAGTCAGTGGGCGGTAATAACTATATGGGGATTTGTGATGCCGTGATTACGCCGGTAGAGAGACGAGGAAAAAACGTTGACCCAACGGCCAAAAAACAACGTACTGGAAGCTGATTGTAGTAATTAAAAAATTAACACGGATAATTAAGAATTAGTCATGCTATTAATTTATTATATTAATTTAATAAAGAAAATAAATGAGGGAAAGCAAATTCGATTTTTTAAAGGAAATGTTTGTTTTTTTGCTTTTGATGATTGTCCTGCACCGAATCTTCTAACATAATCGAAGATTCTAGGATATTTTGTTTTTTATTAAGGTAGTACTAATAAAGTTGATTAGAGGAGTAATTTACACGAAATTATTGGGTTTGTAATCCAATTCCAGGGTTTATCACAGAAGGCGTTCAACTTAATCATGGTTTAGTGGAATTAAGAGCTTAGGTTTAGATGGGATACAATGATTAAACAAAATATGGAATAGTAACCCATGATTCGCTAATAAATAGTGCCTACCTACCCCACTTTTGATTTTTCAATAACATATACTTTTTGCCAAAAATAAATAAATAAACGAGGGTGGAACTTTGGAATGTCCGTTTTAAAAGTAAAAACAAACAACTAAAATGATTAGAAATTTCGAAAAAACTAAGAAATAAAATTAATTAATTCAAAATGTATTGTTTAGTTAATATGTTAATGAGAGTACTAATTAGTGGAATTTTTGAATGAATCAAAATATCGAATAAATTGAATATGGATTGATCGATATTTTGACGCTGCTAATTATTGATCACATAATGATTGTAAGCGAGATGAATAATTTTTTAAAAATAATTGAAAAAAAACTAAAATGATTTTTTGAAGTTTGATAACAATTATTACTTTCAAAATTTTAAATCAACATTTAAAACAGAATAAAGTGATCTTAAATTAACTAGGAGTGTTACTATCATCAGCAGTAACTTCTGATCATTGACAACAATTAAAAATAAAAAGTTGATTTTATGTGTTTTTTTTTTCTCACACTTAACAGTAAATTAAATAAAATAATTGAAGCATTTGATAAAAAAAAAAAAGATAGCACCCCACTTGAATAAAGAATTCAATTTCTTTGGCTTCCACTCTATGTATATTCAATTTATTTATTGTTTAAATGGAGAAAACATGTTTGCTTGGTAGTAGAATGGAGAAAATAATAATCAATATGAAAATTCAAGTTTAGTCAGTTCCACCATTGCAACACTAATTTATTAAACTTTTTATACCTTCCCTCAAACAAGGGGAAGATGGACCATGGACCACCCAACCAATCGCACGTGTTTAATAATTCACATGCACATTTTACAAACAGGCCCAAGGGCCCAACTCTTCAACCTAAGAACTCCCATGCAAATACCGCTGTAAGTCTGTGGGGTAGAGCAGAGGGGACAATCCCAACAGATTGTGTGATTCACATGCTGTTTTGAAGTGCACTTGTAAGTAAGCGTTCCTTCCCCTTGGGCGTAACTCGTAAATAGTGCTTATCATTATTAGTATTATGTTTTTTCTAATATTTTTCTACTGAAATTAGATTGTGATTATGGTTTAATCAGGAAAGTTCTCTGTATCGGTAACTGTTCAATTTGAGTTTAAAAAGAAGAAAGGAAAAGCATCGCAAGATATGCATGCAAATAGAATTAAAGCATAAAAAGTTTTTTTTTCCCTCTTTTGGGTTGTTTTTACCTACTACTCCACTAAGCGACACAAATACAAATGAACTACTAGTGCATGAGATTTATCTGGAAAAACCTAGACCAGATAGAATTTTCAATTCTGAATCTGGAAGGTGGGAAATCTCAAATCCCATGTCACTATTCCCCAAACACGAGGCAAAACAGATTAACGAGGAAAAAACCGATGTTTCCAAAGTGAAATTCGAAAAAAGAAACTATCATTTACAAGTGTAGATTTGCAGAAGAAAAATAATAACAAAAATCAAAATTACAAAACTTTGAACCAAGAGTTTGAAATGATTTTTTGTTATCTAACAGTAGATGCAACAGTATGAGCCCACCATTTAAGATTATCTTTCATATCAATTTCGTTGCCAACTGCCGGAATTCTCCAATTCATCAATGGATCCTCTTTCCTCTTCCTATCCAATTCCAAACGCTCCCATGCTTCAGAAAGATAAGGCCTTGAAACTATGGCAGCTTTATCACCTCCACTACTGTCTTCTTCTCCATCTTTCTTTCCCAATCTTTGCAAACCTGGTATTATCGAAACCAAGCTCGAATCTTTGTCTTCTTCAGAAAACACAAAACCCAGATCCATAAACCCTTTCACCTCTTCAAATTCCAATTCTGATAAACTCTTGCTCAAAATTTTCTTCCCTCTTCTCCTGCTTTTACTCTTTCTTTTGGGCGATTCTTGTATTGGTACAGAAATGTTTGTCTCTTCTTCTGTAATTTCTTTCCCTGACCGAATTGTTTTCAGCTTTGGCGTAAGGAGAACAGAGTCCGGCGACTGAGAAAAGTCAGAGCTAAAGCTTGCTTTAGGCAACAATTGATCGCTCATAGACCTTGAAATGATTGTTGGAACTCTGTAAATCCCTGGTTTCAGGGCTTCTTCTTGCTTTTGATGATCTGGGTTTCTATGGAAACCCGACGATTGATGAAAATTTGATTGTTTCTTGAAGATCTCCATCTCATACCAGCAAAAATCAAAGAGCTCAAGAAATTCTTTAGCTCCCATTAACGGCTTGGCGGCTGTCGGAAAAACCAAGAGGTCAATTAGAATCTGTAATGTGTGTGTAGCTTTTCAAGGCTTCAAACGCCTTCTTATAAAGGCTCTGTCTCTGACCAAAAATGCCCTTCCGGTTTCTAGTAAATTACCCAAAGTGATTCAAATCAAATTATTGCACGTTTAATATTTGAGGACCTTAATTATTATTTTAGTAAAAAGTTACTGGTTTTACTATTATTTCCCGGTGGTTTGGGTTTTGGTCTTATTTTCCGAGTACTTTCAATTTTTATTTTCCGTGTGGGTTTGCGTTTCCCGGAAAGTAAAGTGATAGGAACAACGTGTTTAAGGGAATATGACGTGGCTTTAAGCCGAAGCAAATTTGATATTATTGAGTGTGGTGGGACATATAGTATTAATAGAGTGCACATCACATCACCAAATGTGGTTGATTTTGCTGATGTGAAATTTGCGAGTCGAGTTGAGTTGAGTCACATCTTTATCGTGTTAGATGTTAGATATGGGGTTAAGTAAATCACGCAGCAATTACAGTGATAATGATGACAATCATTACTCATTTCGAGTTCAGTCGACAATTCTTTTCTTACTTGTAAATTACTCATTTAAAATGCATTAATCTTAATTAATTTCATTTTCTAAACATATTTCTGAAAAAAACATTCGTCATCTCAACAAACATTTACATGATTATTTTTTGAAAATGAACCATTAACTTTAATAATATATTTGCATGCAATTTCTATAAAATTATAAGTTTCACATTTTCAATTTCATAAAATTGATTATACATACTCAAACCAAAATTAATAAAATTTACAAATAATTCTAAATTTAAAAGGAAATGAAATTTTAAGTATAAGCAAATAAAGTTATACACACCGAATAAAATGAAATTTAGCTTCTCATGAACAGCATTAGCCTTTGGTTTCTAATATTACAAAAAATGTAACTGATATAATTTCACTGCCCATTATAAAAAATGTGACACTTATGGTTTCAGATTATGACAAATGTGAATTATTTATTATAGTGAAACTATCACATGTTAAATACATTAGACAATGTCAATGTTAAAAAAATTGACTGCAGGCTGCAGCCCTAATCATAACCTATATTGTGAAAGGGAAGATTAATTGAGAATTTCAAAGATGAAAAATTAATTAATTATTAATCAAACACCAAACGTTCAAACTATAAAAGACAAGTAGATGAATAATTTAGCCTCTAAACCGAGTTTTATTTCCACGTCAACGCGAGCGAAAGTAAGACTTTTTAATTTCTGGTTATTTTGAATTTCAAGGGCATTATAGGAATTGAATCGCTGTTTTGAAGAATATTCTGATGCTACCAAATAAACGATCCTTTCTGATTATTGAGAGAGAAGAGAGGTGTCCGGTCAACGATGATTCTTGTTAAATAGAAAGACTAAATAGCCACCATCTCTCCGGAAAGATTAAAAAATAAATCCACGTGTGTCAGCTCTCCCACGAGGGGCACTCCTGCTGTAACAGCCAATAGTTGTTTGACGCGTTTAAGCTAAAGTATACTCACAGTGGAAGTGTACAGGTGAAGTTTGCTGAATTTTTAGGCCTAAACGTGTTTCGATTCAGACAGCAACCGGATTGAAAAAATTCATATTTGAATTGGTCTGAAAATTCTAATCTTCAACAGGACTAAAATGGAGAGATTAGTTCAGATTTTGGTCTATTCTTCAAAATTTTGGAACTTGCCTCAAATTTTTTTTTTTCAAAAAAGAAAAAAAACCTAATAATTAATTTATTTAGAAGCGTAAATGCAAATATTATTGGTATTTTGACGAACCGTAGTTTATGCGAACAATAGAAGAAAATATACAAACACCTAATAATTAATATAAATATACTTAAAAAACCCGTGTTAGCCGACCTTGTTGATTTAATTAAAAACGTAATTGTGTGATATTTGTCAATCCTCAATTACCTAGGGCTAAGGTCAATATTTTCAAAGAATGAATAAGTCAAGTTCAAGGCCAAATTGGTAAGTTCCATCTACGTCTAGGACATGCATCTTCGCTGCTCTTGGCAAAGGATAATCATCAGCAGCATCTCTTTATGAAGAGTCAGACTTTTGTTTTGCTTATAACAATGAGGGAAGAAAAGGGATTCAAATTTATTAGTTTGGTAATGGAATTTCGAAAGATGCATATATGCAATTGGACGCAAACCCGAACTAAGAAATGGACATAGATTAAGCCTCTTTTTCTCAGTGTTCGGAGCCGGTTCTATTTGGGCCCAGCTCAGCTAGCCATTGATCCTCCGGCTACCCCATTACAGGAGATGAAAGTCGACAAATAAGATTATACAATTACTAAATTAGAAAAAGAAAAAACAAAATTTGGAGAAGGAAATTTGATGTTAGATAAAACAAAAATAAAACCAATTCTTTTTTTTTTTTTTTCATTTACCTCGGGTTGGTACTTGGAAGAGATAGATCATGTTGCAGTAGATGAATGTGTATAGGTGAATTGCCGGGCAAATCTCCTTTGGCAGTGAGCTTACTTCAATGGAAATATCTTTTGCTGCATTTTGTTGCATGCAGTCATCGAGTGGCCAACTGCCAAAGAAGTAATTGCCCAGTAATTATATGCATCTATACATTATACAGTCACCCTATATTACATCACAGTCACTCGTGGTTCGTTCTGTGATGAACAGTGAATTGCGCTATTAATCTATATATAATTACATGCTGACTTGATTTGGTGATAAAACGTAACCTGTGGTGTTGTGTTTTCCATGCAGTTGGCATATTCGAAAGCACATCCAATATTATTTGGCATAAATACATGTATTCAAGAGTAAGTGGTCCTGTCCTGTGTACACAGACTTTGTTTTGGACTTTTTGTACAAGGTTTTACAATATTTATACTTTTTATCTCCTTGTTTGCTGCTTGAATCTAATAACCTTCTGCTAATAAATCCAAGAACATGGCATTCTGCATTCGATGCACTTAATCACTACATCAACATGACAATGATGGTGCCTTTCATTTTACAGGGGAATCCACAATAATTTTATTACTTTTGTAAAACAAGCAGTTTTCCATCCTTAATTGCATACCAGAAGCAAAGATAGATTCTTACATATTAGAGATAAACTAAAGGGCTGATAATTAAAATTTTAGAAGCACAGAAGAGGCAATAAAGTGATGACAGATGAAGACTGGTCCTTAGCGCGTGGATAGATGTTGAAATGATATACGAGGGACCAATATTCCATATGTATACATGAATGAGAGAAAAGATATATACACAAGTGTTGGACAGGAATAGTACTGGCATATCCCTATTCCTTCCTTCTTTTCTCATAAGCATATCCTAATTCAAGTGCGAATCCTGTTGCATATAAAAGTCATGTCTTCTGAGTTACTGTTGAATAAGTACAGACTCTATGACCATGAATGAGGAATGCCAGGCAATTCTCCCTTGGCAAACAGACGTTCATATGCATATGCATGTACTTCCATTTGCATACGATAAGTTCTGTTTTGCCAAAGGAGACTTGCCCTGCCATTTCTAGTATCATCCATGTACTTATTGTTAATTAATAATGAATGAATTTTATTAGATAGAGTTAGTCCAATGATAAGGATGTATCTCTTCTTTCTTATTCATTAGGATTGATTTTTTTTTTTTTTTTTTTTTTTTTTTTTTCATTAGGTTGATTTTTTTTTTTTTTTTTTTTTTTTTTTTTTTTTTTTTTTTTGAAGTTTTTTTTTTTTTTTTTTTTTTTTTTTTTGAGAGCATTTCTACATTATTTTTAAAAAGTAACTTTGCTCCAGGTCAATCTGAGAATATGTTTTTAAGATTATCCGAGGGGGAGTCTCAATTTCGAACTGCATAAGTTTGCTGGAGAATATATTTTCTGCAAGTATAAAAACAGGTTTATGCTATCTTTTAACTAATTAAGTTTTTAATCAATCCCAATTACTATGTTGCATTTTTCTTTTCCATTGTTTAATATGTAATTTATAAGATACTTTGTAAATTTTATCTGGAGCTAGCAAGGAGCTTTAAGATTTTATATCTCTGAAACTTCTGTATTAAAGGAGGGGCATTCGATGTATCTCGTGTTTGCCAAATGACATTAAATATTGAATTAGCAGGTAATCGAGGAGTGTCATTCTACTAATACACATCATCAGTTGCTAAGAAGATCACAAAGGATCAAACAAGGACTACTAGTGGTGGGAGGGATCCACACTTGAACAATCTACCACTTATGCTATAAGACATGTCTTTGTAAAATATTACTACAGACACGTTTTATGTTATATATATAAATATGTACAGTGAGATTTGGGATGAATCAATTAATATTTACGTATTGTTTAGTTTTAGCGTGAATGATCTGTTTTTTTTTAATTAATAATAAAGTGCAGAAAAAGTGATTATTATATATATTAAAAAAAAAAAAAGAGAAAGGAAGGGAAAAAAATTGAATGAAGCCAAAAGGAAGAGACCAAGAAAGAGGATGACCATAAAAACGATATTCAATTACGTTTCCGTACGAGAATGTATCATCTGTCTTGGATTTTTAAATTACATGGTAAATAGATTTCAGAGTTTTTTTTGCCATGGATGGCATGAGATTTGTACAGTCAGTCGCCAAGCCTTAATTACTTGCCCTCTTCACTATTACGCTAGCAAAATAGTTGAGCTGTAATCTTTGCTGCAAAAACTTCTCTTGTATATTAACAAACTTTCTCAGTTCATTAAGATTGATCAGCAGACTATATTACAAATTAGAATTGTTTCATGGTATCAGAGTTTCTATCTTCATTGAGAGTTATCTTCATTAGAATTTTCTCTGCAACTGATGAATTCTGCTTCAATGGCAACTCCTGATACTCATATTTGCAAAATCCTTCTAATCCTTATTTTATGACCTCTAGAAATTACATGCAAAATGACAATATCATTCTATTCTTGAAAGGGTTGAATGAGCAATTTGCACATTTGAAACACAAAAATTATATTGATAGACCTCTGCCTTAAATAAACAAAGTGTTCTCACTAGCTAGTTCATGCA